ATCTATCAACTAAATGTCTTAATTAAGGTGTACAAAACAATGTAATAGTTAGACATTTACACCCCTCACAAAGTGATAACCCCCCTCCCAAAATGGGGACTTATTTTAAAGATACAGGATTTCCTAGAATTCAGGGGCAGGAATATACGGCCAGGCCTCAGTAAAGATTTGCAGTGACATTGCCCTCTTGGTTTCAATCAGGGTACCTAGAAGAGCTGATGATTCTCTCCCTATTGTTTTAATTGTTTTTTTGTTTTGTTTTGTTGCTATGCCATGATGTCATTACTTTTAAAAAAAATTGACCTGTTTTCAGTAGTTTGGAGGATGTCTCTCTATGATTTGTCTATGTTTATATAAACATAGGACCTTTCCTCTGATACAAAAATGAGGATCTTTCCTCTTAATTTAGAAATGCGTTCTTGTCTTAATCTTCAACTTCCTTTTTTAAAGACAAAAAAATGCACCATAAATAGCTTTCTAAGTCAGTTCAATACATCCACCTCTTCATAATGTTTTCATGTAAATGTTCTATAATTTACTTAATCTTTTTCCTATCATTTAAGTGATACTGTTGTGCTTTTATTTTTAGGATATATTATAAAAAGTGATTGAGAGTATACTTAGAAAATGTGAAGGAAATTGATTATTTTGAAGGAAAATATAAATTGCCAGAAGTGACCCAAGCAAACCCGAAGGGCCCAGAAACCATAGAAGAACTTGTAAAGTTGTAAGGCCTAAAGTCTAAAGAATTAACAGCCTCCTGTGGTGGTGGTGGTGCAGTCCATGTAATTTTAAGGAACAGGCGATTCTCATGTAATCAAATATTCTAGAGCAGGTGAAATGGTAGAAAGTACTCTGATTCTTTTAAAAAAGTCTCTGTAGTACCAATAGCAGAACTGCTAAAGATAATATCAAAAAAGTAAATTCTAAATAAAATTCTGTCAGATTAAAACCAGAACTTTATTAAAGAATGATATGCTTAACTAATTAAAAAATAGTTCAGCATTATACTTGCTATTCCTTTCTTTGTGTAGTATATAGAAAAAAAAGATTGATGTTGTAACTTTTACTATTTCTTTTTCTTTTAACAGTGTACCCCAAGGTCATGAAGCATATTAATTGAATATCATTTGTTTTCTATGTAAAAGACCTGTAACTTTTCATTTGTATAAAAACATTGCACCTGTAGCTGCTGTTCTGGTGGCACCAGTTCTTTCTACTTACTTTTTAGGTAACATCATGGCTCACAAATTGTTAAATAAAAAATCACTTCTCTTAAAGCGTGAATTTATAAAACATGAATGGCATCTAATAGCCTAATTCTTCATTCTCTGAGTGTTATGTTTGCCATTAACTTTGTGGCCATTGTTACAAGCTTTCCTGCAGTGGTGTGGTTGGGTACCTGTGTGTTGATATGAGGAATACAACATTGAATAATACCTATTTTATTTTTATTTCTTCTCCACCATCAATTTTGTACTGGCTCAGGTTTACTATTTGAAGTCTCTCTAGGAAAAACTCAGTTGGTTTACCACAAAAGTCACTTGCTTCTGTTTGAAATTTCAAAATTTTCTTGGCTTCATGCCATTTTTGATAAAGTTTCGTAATGTCATGGTCTAGAGGCAGAGACTGTCATTCTCCTTACATCCACACGTAGTTATTTGCTTGTACACTATGATAATGAAGTACAGTATGCCAGTGTAGAGGTCATATGTTGTGGTCCAAGGACAACAATTTAAAAAACACCGAACTAAGGATAACCAGTAATCACTATAAACACTTTTATGTATATCCGATGGATTGACTGTTTACTGTGAGTTTTTTGGGTTCGTGTGTCTGTTTATCCATCCATTCTCTATCCGTCTATCGATAGTTGAATAAATTAAAACCTAATATATCTACTGTCTGTTTTCTGTTTTTTCCCTTAGTGCATCTTGGATATCTTCTAAATGCTTGTTTATAATGTATTGTTTTAAAAATTGAATAATATTTCATTGAAAGAAAATACCATAATTTATTTTTGTGGACATTTAGTTATTTTTAATTTTGTGATTTTGTAAACAATGCTGCAATGAACATCTCTGATTGTTAATTTTGGGGATATCCTAAATGTACCTTTAGGATACATTTCTGGAAGTGAATTAAAAGTTCCATACTTTCTCCCCAGATGCTGTTCCTATCATTAATATATCATAGTGCCTCTACTACTGGAAAATGAAATTTTAAAAATGAAGGCATATCAAATGAGTCCAGATTTTTATTGTTAGATTCAACAGACATAAACTTAACTCTAAAATTGCTGTAATAGTCTCTACATGCTTACTTTCACTCAGTTTTTGTACATTTATTGTCATGGAATAGTGACAAACAATTCATGGACTATCAATATGCCGTATTTTTAGTAGCACTGTTTTAGCCTAGGAAGCAACCTAGGAGAAAAAGGTGGTTTGGGATGAGGTTTGGGTCTCATATGTATATGGTTATTTAATACTCTTGCTTTTCGTATGGTTCCCACTCAGGTGTGTCTGGTATCCCCTATTTCAGAGATTCTGTTTTACTTTCTGCAGAGAATAAACCTACAGACCTGCTGTGGTGGTGGAATAGCAGTTACCTGGTATTATGGAGTAGGGAAGGGAATCTTAGCATCTAACCAAAACTCAAGCACTTTTCTCCACATTTCTCTTTATTTTAGTTTACTCGTCCTTTCCTGTTTCTGTTAGTTGGTGCTGCTAGTTCCTAATGCTATTGAAGATTGTCTGCCTGGGATTGTTTTCTTGGATCAGCAAGGTCCTTTGCTGCTTATCTGCTTTCCAGCATCTAGAATTTTGTTGCTATTGTCACTTCTCCTGTTTCCCATTGTTAATTTTTCTTTAAGGGCTTCTTATATATTTATCATGTTGCAAATGTACCCCTTCCCCAGTCTTTTCTCCTTTCTTAACTGTATGAACAAAATATTTACATTTATTTATTATTTTGTAGATTTTTATGTTGACAGATATTTCTTTTATCTCACATTATTTCTTTTTTTTAGTACTTATTGAAAATTTATTTTGCTGAAGTATTTAAAACTTTTTTTCAGAAAGAGTACATATGTGATATATTCTCTGAATCTTTGCATATCTAAGATTGTATTTTCTCCTCATATTTAAGAGTTTTCTTGGGTATAGAGTTAATTCTGGGGTGAAATCTTACCCCTCAGAACTCTGTAAATGTTATTTCATTGTCTCTAGCATACAGAATTGTGAATAAAATACCTGATTAATATTGCTGTCTGGTTAAAGTTGGCATTGCTGATGGAAATTCAAATACCTTTTTAGGTAACTCTTCTTTTTCACCTTTATTTTTTTTACATTTCATTTTTACCTTTTTTTTTTTTAAAGATTTAATTGAGTTGGGGAAGGGGAATAGTGTTGGGGAATTGGGGAAGGGGAACAGCCAAGTTGTCCTTCGATCTTAGTTGTGTAGGGCGCAGCTAGCTCAACTCCCAAGTCCAGTCACCATCTGGCCATCTGACGACAGCTCGCGGCCACTCAGCTCAAGGTGCCGTGTTCAATCTTAGTTGATGGTGGGCTATGCCCACCATCCCATGCAGGAGGGAGTCAAACCTGCGACCTTGTTGTTAGGAGCACGTGCTCTCACCAGCTGAGCCACCCTGCCACCTGTTGGCAGCTCAGTGGCAGCTCAGCTCGGGCGCAGCTCACTGGCCCATGTGGGAATCGAACTGGTGACCCTGTTGCTCAGAGCTCGTGCTCTTAACCAACTGAGCCACTCGGCCGGCCCTCATTTTTATCTTTTAAACTAAAAAATTTTACTGGGATAAATTATAGACACTGAGCTTTATCTTCCCATACTAATAATCTTGCCAGGCATTTGAGGAGCCTTTGATTTTGAAAATTCAGGTCTTAAAAAACAAAACAAAAACTTGATGTAATTTTTTTCTTGTTTTCGAAATCATTATTTCTTTCCCATCTATTTTGTTCTTTCATGGCAGTACGTTCTTGGGGTTTTTGTTTTGTTTTTATTATTTTTTTTTCCAGTCTGTTATTTCAGGTCTTAATGAGATCGCCAATTATTAATTGATTTTTTTTTAAGCTTTCTCTTTTTTCCTACAGTAACTTTCATTGTAGTTACTGTTTTTCACTGCTGGGTTGGACAATAGAAAAGAGATTTTAGGGGCCAGCCGAGTGGCTCAGCTGGTTAAGAGTTAGCTTAAGAGTGCAAGCTCTGAGCAACAGGGCCTCCAGTTCGATTCCCACATAGGCCAGTGACACTGCGCCTGAGCTGAGCTGCTGCTGAGCTGCTAGCAGGTGGCAGGATAGCTCAGCTGGTGAAAGCATGTGCTCCTAACAACAAGACTGCCTGTTTGATGGTGGGCTACGCCTGCCTGCAAATAAGACTGAACTCGGCACCTTGAGCTGAGCTGCCACCGGATGGCTCAGTGGATAGAGCATGTGCTCTTAACAACAAGGCTGCTGGGTCGACTCCCACATGGGATGGTGGCTATGCCCACCCTCAACTAAGATTGAACATGGCACTTGAGCTTAGAGGCCAAATGGTGACTGGTGCCCTCCACAACTAAGATTGAAGAACAACAACTTGGCTGGTCCCTTGCCCCAATTCACCAACACTGTTCCTCTCCCCCAACTCCCCAATTAAAAAGAAATAAAATAAAAAGTAATAAAAAGGTTTCTTTGAGTGTTCCAAGTATTTGCTCCTTTTTGAGCCACTGCATCCAGTAATGTTTCTGCCTACTTATCTTTCTTGATGGCATTGGCAGTTGAGATAAATTTTTAGAGCATAAACCAAGATTTTCTGGTTTTTACTTAGATGCAAGGGAGGGGAAGATAATGTAATGGTTTTCTGACAGCTTGGTGATAATAATTTACCTATGTGAACAAAGGACAGAACTTTTAAGAAGAAGAAGATAGAGATATAGAAAGTGATGTAGAAAGATTTTTCTTTGTTCAGAAATAATTTCTTCTTCACATCTCTCCTGACAGCTGGTGCTAGCAACCCCCAAATCCGGTGGGCCTCTGGACCCAGATCAAAGCTCTGGATTCAGCCTGTCCTCCCCATACCTCAGCTGGAGCCTCTGTCACCCCAGAGAGCTCCAACCAATCTTACTCTGAAGCCTTCACTTCCTCTCCTAAGGTATGTTTAGGGGAGGGAGTGGGCTTCGGAATTATGTTACTCATTTCCTTACTGTGGGCAAAACAGATAGATACCGATTAAATACTGGTTGAATGAATGTCTCCTAGTAGTCCTCTTTTAAAGGGGTGCTTGGCAGTCGGTCCACATTTGTTTTCACTCTTCTCTCTGGACCATTTCCTACCAAATACCTTGCAGTATGTGTGTGGAATATTTTTCTAGTTTCTAGGATTTTTGTAGGATTTTCTTAATTTATTTAATTTTAGATTGTGTTTCAGTAGGCAGTTGGGAGGGGAAGGAAATCAAATGGCTTAAGTTTCCATCTTGATGCAGGAAACTCTCCAGGTTACTTTAAAGGGCCAGTCATACTTTATAGAAATGGTATCATTTCAAGACTTGATGAGATGTTGGTCAAGTTTTATAAGGAAATAATACATAGATAGATGGCAGTAGTTGTAATAGGAGATTTAAAATCAGTAATCCTTATTGATGGGGTAGAGATTAGACTAATGAAAAGAACATTCATTGACTAATAGGTTGTAAGATTAAAATTTAGTAAAATTTCTCTTTGCTGATGTTATTTGATATGTTCACAACATGCAATACATTTTTCTGCAAAGGTAGCAGCCCTAGTATAATTTGCTACCAGGTATCATTTTGATTGCTTCTATATACTACACAGGTTGAACACAGTTGAAGACAAAATAGATTCTCCAAATTTAAAAGTTGAGAGGAAATAAACCCCAAACTATGTAAAATACACAAACTCCCCTCATGCTGTATTGTATATGCCATACATTAAATATAAAAAATATTGGCATTCAACATTAATTATTTAGCAGTTATCAAACTTAAGTAATAGCTAAGTGGATTTCTTAATAATAAGCTGGTCCCTTGTATCAGCTTTGTTTTGCCTATGAGGAAAGGGCATACAGTTTAATGGGTAAACTTTGTGGCATCTGGTTTGGCTGCCATGCATCCTACTTAGTTATTTCATACTTTTTATGTCCTGGAAGGGTGAGTTTCCTGGATGATCAACTCTGAATAAGCAATATATTAACGTATATGTCCTGCCTCCTTTTTTTATTTTTTTATTTATTTATTTTTTTTTTAAAGATTTTTATTGGGGAATTGGGGGGATGGGAACAGTGCTGGGGAATTGGGGGAAGGGGAACAGACAAGTTGCTGTCGTTTTGTTCTTCAATCTAGTTGTGGAGGACGTTGCTTCACTGGCCCAAGTTGTCACCATCATTGCGCTCTTCCCTGGCGAGGCAGATCAGTCGCCAGTTTCTGGATGGCCGCTCACTGCGGCTGCTGGCTGCTCACGCTGGCTGCTGGCCACTCACGCTGGCTGCTGGCTACACATGGTAGCCCATGGCAACCCACTGCCACAGGGACTGCAGCCTACGCCGTCGCCGGCGACTCATGGCAGCTCAGCTCCAGGTTGAGCTGTTGTTCAGCATCTTAGCTGTAGAGGGCAGTGTCACTGGCCCTCATATGTGGGATCCGAACCGGGGCCCTCTGGCATCCCAAGCGAGTTCTTAACCATCGCGCCACTCGGCCGGCCCCTGCCTCCTTTTTTTAGATTGTAAGTTGCAGTAGGGTAAGGACCATGTTTTTGAATCTCTAGCACCCATCAAAATGCCTCACATTCATAGTATATATTTATTAGTGTTAGTTAATTGAGTTATTTAAAATCATATTTTTATACTGGTTGTCAGACATTGGGATATGTGTTTTCTTATAGGAAAAATTTTCACTTGTGTAAATATTTTTGAGATGGAATGAATGGTATTTAGAAATATCAAAATCTGTAATATTTTAGCATTATACATGCATATTTTTGGAGAATTGTGACATTACTGTAAGAAGCACTTTGCCTTTTATAATGAAACTCATGATACAGTTGCCCTTAGTTATATATAATAATAGAGCTTTCTGTCGGTAGACGCCACCGAGTAAGCATCGTTAAAGTCTCCCCTCCCGTGGTCGTCATGTCTAAGTCAGGGTCTCCCAAACAGCCTGAACAGCTGCAGAAGCTCTTCCTCAGGTTTGAGCTTTGAAACAACAGATGAGAGTCTGAGGAGCCATTTTGAGCAATGGGGAACGCTCACAGACTGTGTGGTGATGAGAGACCCAAACACCAAGCGCTCCAGAGGCTTTGGGTTTGTCACCTATGCCACTGTGGAGGAGGTGGGTACAGCTATGAAGGCAAGGCCACGCAAGGTGGTTGGTAGAGTTGTGGAACCAAAGAAGGCTGTCTCAAGAGAAGATTCTCAAAGACCTGGTGCCCACTTAACTGTGAAACAGATTTTTGTTGGTGGTATTAAAGAAGATACTGAAGAACATAACCTAAGGGATGATTTTGAACACGTGGGAAAATTGAAGTGATTGAAATCATGACTGACCGAGGCAGTGGCAAGAAGAGAGGCTTTGCCTTTGTAACCTTTGATGACCATGACTCTGTAGACAAGACTGTCATTCAGAAATACCATCCTGTGAATGGCCACAACCGTGACGTAAGGAAAGCCCTATCTAAGCAAGAGATGGCTAGTGCTTCATCCAGCCAAAGACGTCGAAGTGGTTCTGGAAACTTCATTGGTGGTCAAGGAGGTGGTTTTGGTGGGAATGACAACTTTGGTCGTGGAGGAAACTTCAGTGGTCGAGGTGGCTTTGGTGGTGGTAGTCGTTGTGTGGAGGACATGGTGGCAGTGGGGATGGCTATAATGGATTTGGTAATGATGGAAGCAATTTTGGAGGTGGGAAGCTACAACGATTTTGGCAGTTACAACAATCAGTCTTCAAATTTTAGACCCATGAAAGGAGGAAACTTTGGAGGCAGAAGCTCTGGCCCCTATGGTGGTGGAGGTCAATACTTTGCCAAACCATGAAACCAAGGTGGCTATGGCGGTGCCAGCAGCAGCAGCAGTAGCTATGGCAGTGGTGGAAGGTTTTAATTACTGCCAGGAAACAAAGCTTAGCAGGAGAGGAGAGCCAGAGAAGTGACAAGGAAGATACAGGTTACAACAGATTTGTGAACTCAGTCAAGCACAATGGTGGCAGGGACTAACTGCTACAAAGACGACATGTTTTAGACAATGCTCATGTGTATGGGCAAAAAACTCGAGGACTGTATTTGTGACTAATTGTATAACAGGTTATTTTAGTTTCTGTGTAAGGTATAAAGCATTCCAACAAAGGGTTTTAATATAGATTTTTTTTTTGCACCCATGCTGTTGATTGCAAAATGTAATAGTCTGATCATGAGGCTGAATAAATGTGCCTTTTTTTTTTAATGTGCCGTGTAAAGTTAGTCTACTCTGAAGCCATCTTGGTAAATTACCCCAACAGTGTGAAGTTAGAATCCCTTCAGGATGATGCCAGGTTCCATTTGAAATTTATTTACAACCTGCTTGGGCTTAGTCAGAAGCCATTGTCTTCAGAAACCTTGGTGTAGTTGAATTGACAGTTACTGTTGGTGATCTGGAGCTCACCATTAAAAGAGTCATCTAAGCAGAGTCATGGAGTTTATTTGGTTATTAATGATTGTTGTGACATCCTATGCAATATATCTAAATTAAATTATGGTACCATGCGGGAGACCGGCTCCCACAAGTCCAGGGGTTCCCTTAGGTGGAGACGGAGTCGGCAAGGAAAGAACGCGGAGACAGAGAAGCGCTTTTCAAGAATTAATGTCTCACTTTATTTTTACAGCCT